TTTAACTTTTTATTCTTTCAAAGTGAAGAAAATCCCCAACCTTTCTGGGGGGTAAGAAGGGGAATGGGGGTAATAATCTTATTTTTGATCTACATTCAAAGTCTAAGTGATTTTATTCCCACTTAAGCCCCTCCCTGCAAATGCTTTGAAAACACAAACACACCTTAAAAATCTCAAGGAATTCATTAGATGAGGCATTTAGAAAAAAAAAATCTCACAGTTTTAAACATACAAAATATTGCTAAATACTGGTTTAACGCGAGCGGAAAGAACAAGAGTTCTATTGTTCACACGGCACAAACCACAGCTTATTTGTATTGAGAAGTAGCACATTATAAAATGTATCATATGATAATCAAGCAAAGCCAAGAACCAGCTTCTGATTTATAGCTTCAATAAACAAATGTCTAATCTTTCAATTCCTATCTCAACATGTTGCTGGCTACTTGCGCATTTGGGATTAGTACATTATAAGTCAGTAAGCTGGAAAGCCTGCTTTTCTTCAGTATTTCTAAACAGAACTTTCCAAGTTTCCAGTTAAAGCCAATATCCCTGGAGCCTCTTCAATGTTGTACAGCAATGTTATCAGGCCAGAAAGGTTTCTTTTCCTCACTGCTGCCCTGTTCATTCTTTCCTTTTAATTGAAAACCAAAGGGCATCTCACACTCGCAGCACCACTCTGCAGAATGCTGCTTTCGGAGACATTCTATGTCTTACTTGCTAGTCTGCCAACATAAAACAAGACATAATTCAAGCGAGTAAGTGTAATGAATGTATTTCCTTAAAGGAAAAAGCTGAGTGTCTGAAAACGATGCAATGCATGTATCTGCCCATTTCTACAAACACATAATATTATTCTGGGGTCATCAGGGTGGGGGAAAGGGGAATTCAGAAGAATCAGTCTCAATCCTACAGTCGAGCTTGAGGTATAACTTCCCATCAACTCCTATCTTCACGTTGCACCTGAATGCCACTAACAGAATTGGGACTGGAAGCTACCAGTTTAGATCTAAACCAAACCCCAGGGAATCTGTCTACATTATCTCCCACATAACTCTTTAATGGAACCTACTGCACACTCACTGCAAGAAAATACCAACTAATGCATACACAGTCATATCACCAACCTTAGAGGTGAAGCCCGCTCAATCACACCAGTGAGGTTACTCAACATACAAGTTTGAAATATCCAAATAAGCTTCCTCACGGGAGGAAACAAGTTAGGGTGCTCTTATTAACATCTCCTATGAATCGCTCATTAATTTATTCACATATTTACTGAGAACCTACTACATGCCAGGATTAGGAAAATCAGAGGTGACCAAGTCAGATAGTTTGTTCTTATGGAGCTTACTTTACATTCCAGCAATAAAGAGATAATCAAACCAGTAAGCAAATGAATAATGGTAACTTTCCGACAGTAACAAATGCTATTTAAAAAATGGTATTACAGACAGCGATAGGGTGGATGCGGTTTTAGATGGGGGGCTTAGGGAAGCTCTCTAAAAGGGATAGCTGAGCTGAGACATAAGCCATGAAATGCCAACCCTGTAAAATTTGAGGGCAGAACATTTCTGGCTGAGGAAACAGCAAGTCTGAGGCCTGGAGATGGACTCACAAAGCTTGATGAGGGGGGACATAGAGAAGACCAGCAGGCTGGAGTGCAGTCAGCATGGGAAGAGTGGTTTCAAGATGCAACAGGGACGTAGGCTGGCCTAAATCACACAGAGCCGTACAGGGCCTGATAAAGAATCTAGATTTTAGTCTAAATGCAAAG